GAGAGAGAGAGAGAGAGAGAGAGAGAGAGACAGACACACACAAAAGATTCTCTTTATCCTTTATATCTGAACAGAAGAACTGATTATACTTTTCATTATCACTTTCACTAAGGAGCATGGCTCCAACATATCTAAATAGCAACTGAAGGTTAGGCTATAGTTATATTGAGCCATGGTGATGGGTCCATGGCTGAATTGAGCAGGTCACTTGGCTCAGTAGCCATTACAGTATCTCCTTTTTGGTTATGCAGAAGTGGCCACCCCAGTTAGTTTTAATGGATTATTTCTCATAGACCATAGATGTACCATCAATGTGGCTGAAATAATACACTAATATGACTCTCCAGTGCCCCTAAGATACAGGCATTACTCACCAGGGCTAGTTAAAGAGTTCCTCACTGATTAATTCTAAGAGCTTTAATTACTTAATCAACTGATTAAAGTAGTTCATGTTGTCTATCTTGGAACATTAACAGAAGTATAAGGAGTTAGTTTTTTTAACTATAATGAAAATGATTGCCAGCTATTTTGGATCATTGGAACCATACTATAATTAATTACTTTTGAAAGGTAACTAACTATCCAAGCCCTACTCCCATTTTACTGTGAACAATCCTCTTTTGACAAACTTTCATATTCAATGGCTGTTATATCTTATTCAAAGACTTCCTCTATCTCTATGGTTCACATCTGGTTTAAAGATGATGAAGACTAAAAAGAGGAAATGATAAGAAATGGCCCTGAAGTTGTCCATTAACAATTAGCACCTGGACTGAGCAGGTACACAGCTCAGCTCATCACATATTTTCCTGCTGCACCAAGATGTATTTTATTTCTATTTAAATAGTAGTGATGATGTCTCAATGTGCACTATACATGAAAATCAAGATATGTACCTTTTGTGTAAATTTATTTATTTACTTAATTTATATCCCACTTTTTTCCCAACTGGAGGGACATAAAGTTTATTACAACAGCTGAAAATATACTTATACTGTATTTAAAACCACAGTGAATTAAGATACTAATGCTAAAACATGGTTAATCCAACAAAGTGTTAAAAACACACTTGAATACCAACTTCCTCATTTCCCGTTTTTTAGTGATGCATTTCCCCTTTTTTTGGTAGTGAGGACATTGAGACCTTACAGCAACATAATGGCATCTCCAAACTGTAACTTAAATAAGGCCTACAAGCTTTTTAGTCTTCCTATCTATGTTTCTATAGTTTGCTTTCTGTTCCTACTGTCAATTATTTAGCCACGTTTGTCCTGAAAGATTAAGCCTTTAGGGCTCCTGGATGTTCTATAACACTAATGTGAGCAACAGATACCAGATTAAAGCTCCGTGAGAATTTTCCTCAATATTAAAAAAAAAAAGTCTGACAAACAGGACGGGTATCATATCCTCAAGGCAGCATCAGCCGTATTACTTATCCACATCTAGTGGATTATTTGAGCTTTTCTTCTTTAGCTCTCAGGGTGTTGAAGCGCTAACTCTTGTGGGTTTCATGTCCTCACTGTAGTACTGCCCTTCCTGACTCAAAATAACACATATCTATACTTTTCAATGATATGAACTCACTTAGGTTGGAAGACTATGTTTTAATATTCTTTCCTGGAAGGCTAATCAAAGGCATTTTCTGCCCAATACAAGGACACATTGCACCCTCATCAAATCTCTGAATAAGCCATTTACTAATGTAGTTACCAATAACTAGTGAATTTCAGGAAAAAAGTAATGTAACTAATAAGTACAAAGTTACTTTTTAGATACGAGTGACACCTAAATTAGCATGCAGCTATGCTAGTAGCAGAAAGCAAGTTAGTGTGGGCCACTTTGGTATGACTGAGTGATCATTAGAGTGATCTAATCAAACCTGATAATTCACATGGAAAAAACTCCTGTCAATATTGTGAAGTCACTTAATATTTATTTATTTATTTATTAGATTTTTACCCCGCCCCTCTAGACAATGTCTACTCAGGGCAAATTACATAGATAAAAATGCATCAATATAAACATGTATAAAATCATTAAAAATACAATTACAATTATAACGATTAATTCTAAAACAATACATTATCAAGATGGCAAAAAAACCACACACAAAAAAATAACTTAATTGACTGGAGGGAAGGCCTGCTTGAATAACCAAGTTTTTAACCGGCTTTTGAACACACCCAGCAAGGGTGCCAGCCGAATTTTGGTTGGGAGAGTGTTCCACAGCTGAGGGGCCACCGCCGAGAAGGCCCAGTTTCTTGTTTTTTCCTTCCGGGCCTCCCTCAGCATCAGGCCCCTCAGCCATCCCTGCTGGCTATATCAGGTGAGTCGGGTAGATCTAGTTGGAAGAAGATGATCTGCCAAATACTGAGGTCCCAAACCGTTTAGGGCTTTATCATTAACACTTTGAAGTCAATGCGGAAATGGATGGGCAACCAGTGCAGAGCAGCCAGTGACTGGAATGGGTCCAGGGCGTTGGTTTCGTCCAGAAGCGCCTGAAGCTGATCTGCCACCAACCTCTCAATCACTTTGCTGAGGAAGGAAACATTGGCGATGGGCCTATAATTGCCAATTTCGTCCGCCACCAAATTTGGTTTCTTCCTAATGGGTCTAATGAGTGTCTCCTTGAGGGCAAGGGGAACACTGCCCTCCTGAAGAGACCCATTAATTATTGCAGTGGCCCGTTCAGTTGTTACAGGCCTGGCTGCTTTGATTAGCCAAGCCGGGCAAGGGTCGAGAGACGAGGTGGTAGCCCGACAGTGATCAAGCGCCTTGTCCACCAAATCTGGTGTCATAGGCTGAAAGGAGTCGATAATTACCAGGCAAGGCGGAGCGCTGGACATCTCTGCTCGATCCATTGTATTTAAAAAAGGAGAAAGGTCACGGTGGATGGCCTCCACTTTTGGAGGAGGTGAGATGCTAGTGGGAGGCCCTTCATCCAGACCAATTCCAGATAGATCGTGAACTATACGGAAAAGTTCCGCCTGCTGATTGGAAGCTTCGCTTATCCGGTCAGTGAAGTGAGATCTTCTAGCAGCCTTTACCTTGGCCAGGTAACGGTTAGCTGTGATCCTGAGAGTTATCTTATTATAACCTGTCGGTTCCCTTCTCCAAGTGCACTCTAGCTGTCTCCTTATTCACTTCATTACTCGTAGATCCTGAGTATACCATGATCCTGGCCGAGCTCTGCTCCTGAGATTGTTTCTACGGACCTAGTAGCAGCGGAGAACCAACTGTCAACCAGAGCTTCGACAGGAGCGCCAGACAGTACCGCTGGAATCCCTCTCATGGTATCCTGGAATCTCATTGGATCCAGTAACCTTTGAGGGCGGACCATTAAAATAGGTCCATGCTCCCTGCGGGGAGGGAGCGCCATTGCGAGGTTACATTTTAATATTGGCACATTAATCACTTCGTCTCCTCAGCAGAGGAGCAGAGGGAGTGTTTTTTTTTTAAACTGTATATGGACTATCGCTTGATGCAGTGCATCAGTTTTTTTAAAAAATTAAAAATCTTTTCTTTGTCTTCTCTTAAAGGGCCGGTCAAGAAATTGCCTGTTGCTGAAGTGACCAGCCCTTTGAGACAAGGCAAAGAAAATGGTTTCTTTTAATATCATTCTAATGTGACTCATCAGTGATACAGTTTATAAAAAATCTACTTCCCCTGCCCCTCTGCCAAGACACAGAGGAAGTGGTTAATTTGTCAATATCCTGAAATAGCGTGCTTATTAAGCCACTTCACAATATTGGCAGATTCAAACCAGAAGGCTTGTTTGGATTGGTTCCAGTGATCATACACACTGGGACCAATCCAGACCAGAGTGATCCTACTCATGCCAAAAAAGAGTAGAAGCCCTTGACGGGAGCTCAAAAAGGTACAGATAGGTCATCTGATCGCCAAAAAGGTCATCTGATCGTTGACGGGAGCTCAAAAAGGTACAGATAGGACCACTCTGGGGGTGGGCCAGTCCACTCCAACAAAGATGTCATCTGATCACCATCTTTAGGAGTAGATCAACCTGCTCCTGCAGATGACCAAAGAGCAGGCTTAAAAGCATATGTACTCAGCCTCTTACTAAGGTAAAATAAGTAACATGTATTTACTTTCAATATTTTCTTTTAAGGGCCTCAAAAAGGTACAGATAGGACCACTCTGGGGGTGGGCCAGTCCACTCCAACAAAGATGTCATCTGATCACCATCTTTAGGAGTAGATCAACCTGCTCCTGCAGATGACCAAAGAGCAGGCTTAAAAGCATATGTACTCAGCCTCTTACTAAGGTAAAATAAGTAACATGTATTTACTTTCAATATTTTCTTTTAAGGGCATTTTAGAGGCATTTTGACAGCAATTTAAAAATATATATGCCATTCTTTAAAATATGCCCATCTTTAACCAACAACTACTAGCAGCTTCTTGGGGTTTCAGGAAGGATTCTTTCTTAATCATACACGAACAGATGATTATGGAAGTGAACTAACCTGTGTGCCAAGCATGTGCTCTACCATTGAGCCAATTCCCCTTCCTAGGACTGCCGGAGTACTCTAAATAGCTGCCTAAAGGGATCAGTTCATAGAGGATAAAGTGTCAATGGCTTTATTCAGGGATTTCATTACCATTTGATAACTACAACTAAATACTGCTATTTGAAACAGAACACCAAATTAGAAGGGAGCTTTTACCAAATTTAGCAAGTAGATATTCTCCCTTCTATCTGGCATAATATATGCACCGTATATTATGGAACGTATATAATAATTTCAAAATATTGCTTTAAATATATATCGTGCCCTTCATGCAGATCCACCAACACAGAACACCCGTGCAAAACCATCCTGTACCTCTTATCACCATGACTGGTGCTTCAGAATTCATTCTCAGAAATAATGGGATATACAGTATACATGTATTTCTTTATTTATTATTTATTTATTAGTTTTATTTATATGCTGCATTTCATATGTGAAACACGAGACAGAATATAGCAGAGGAACCTACCCAAAATTGCAACGACTTCATCGTCCTGAATGACTTCCAAGGACCCTGAAACCACAAAGCAAAGATTGTCCACACTTTCCCCAGCATGGTAAATGAGATCCCCGGGAGCACAATGCACCGTCTGAAATTCCATTGCCAGCGCCCGCAGACACCCGTCGCTAGCCAGTCTGAACGCAGGGTGCTCTTTGAAAACTTTCCGATTCAGGTGAACACAGATGTCTGCTCGCATATCCTTTGGACAAATCTGTAAAACCTAGGAGAACAGTACTAGAATTAGTCTCTACATGCAAGGCATCTGAGGGTGCTGCATTTCCTTCATATATTCTTAAATAACAGTGTGCCAGGAGATTCATCTTGGCTTCCTTTTGGGCAGAGCTACTTGTTATTGAATAAATTCTTGTTTCTACTGCTTTATTCTCTTGAATAACATGTGGCTGGCACAATGGAATCTATCCTTTTGCCTCTTAAGTGAGCTGATTTCTTATAATAAGCCCATTTTAGCTATTTTAGTCATCCGGCTCTAAATCTGGAATTTGCTGCACCCTGCTTATGTGCTGAGACACTCAGTTGTACAATCATGCCACTTAAACATTGGCTATATGGAATAAATAGAAACATCTCCAAATGCCTAGAGGGCAGAAAAAAACAATAATTAACTTCAATTAGTAAGGAGGCACTGGCAGTTTCTCAATACTCTTTGAGGGATTATTGAACCAGAGATTTGTCAAGGGAGGCAAAATTAGAAGATTAAAATTTATTTATTTATTTAAAATATTTTTACCTCACCTTTCTCCTCAAAAGGATCCTATTTTAAAAAAATCAGCCTTGACCCTGACCAATATGAAATTATAAAGTTTTTAATATTAAGGCTTTATAAGCCCAGAAGGCAAAGCCCTTTAGAACAACCATATTTTCTGATGGTTATTGAACTACCATGAAAATACCAGAAGTTTTAAAGGCTGTAAAATCAATAGAATACAATACGGCTCACATACCTAAAGAGTCGTATCTAATTTCGATAATGCTTTAAGCATATGGAATATATGCGTCATCAGGGGAATCACAATTTCCTTTAGTTTTTGAATCAGAAAATAAATTAACCCATAATAAAATATTATCATTCACTAGATTGCAGCAGAAATACTGGAAAAATTTCATTTCCAGTCCGTACTTCTGTAGATTGTCCTCGTACAACCTACAGCCGTGAATTTTACTTGCAAACAATGCATACTGAGGACAGAAAAAGACATCAAGGACTAGAAGAGGAAAATCCTCAGCTAAAGCAAGCACTGGAGGGTCACAGCAGGCCTGCTGCTCAGCTTTGTTCAGCCAACAGATTTTCCTAACTTGTAAACAGAACTGCCCCAGAAGTTAGAAATTTTTGCTTTTTTGTCTCTGCTGTCTGGAAGATTCTGGGAGTTTCTGCCCTCTTTGGGAGAAAGGTGGGGTAAAAATAAAATGAAATTCCATTGAAGTCTAATTTCATAGACCCAAAGGACGGCCCCAATCAGTTCTCCTCCTTCCCTCCCTCCCTCCCTCTGGGTGACATCTCTGTTGCAGTGGTTGACTACCATCGCAGCTTATCTCCACCAATCTCTCACTGTATGCATTAATAATAATCACCATGAGACATCAGGTCAATTTGGATTGATGGCAACCCTTTTAAGGATTCGCCAGGAAGAGAATACTCAGAAGTGGTTTACAATTCCCTTCTGGGGGCATCCTAGGACTGCGCAGCTTGCCCAAGGCCACACAGGCTGGCTTTACTTGCAGGAGGCACAGTGGGCTCCCAAGCTTTGGCTTTGCAGAAAGATACCTAAACCACTGAGCTGTCCATCAGGAGGCACAGTGGGGAATTGGACTTCCAAGCTTTGGCTTTGCAGAAAAATACCTAAACCACTGAGCTGTCCATTCAGAATGATATGGATTCGTTTTCTTTATTAAGGCCCAGAGAGTCTCTGGTGTTATTCATACAAGAGGTCTGTCTGCTATCTCTTCTGTGTTTATCCTCAATTTTCCCTTCAACAAGGTATTGCAGTAATTTAGCATGATAGATTATGTGTCCAAGATATGAAAGCTTGCACTCTTAATTATCAACTCAATTTCTTTTTGTTTTCCTACCCAATGAGCCAACAAACTGTTTATTGCAAGCACGTGTTTCAAGCAACTGTACACATAGATATCACCAGATGGCTAATATAGAAATCCAATAGTCTAAATAATTGGAAGCAGAAGATGGAGAAGCTATATCCTCTCTGCTAAAACAAGACCAGGAGCAGACTGTGGTACTGATCATGAGCTGTTAATATCAAACATTAGAGCAGTGGTTCCCAACCTTTTTCAAGACATGATAGCCAAATAACCTGTGACCCCACCACCAGGTATGCATACAAAGTCATTTTCCCCATAAAGCAGAGGCTTCTTTCTTCCACAAATGGCCTGTTTCTCATACATACATACACACACATACAGCTTTAATATCCAGCTCTGAAAGGTCAAGGAAGAAATTATTTAACAAGGGCTACAACAAATATAAGGCAGCCTGGGACACCTCAGAAAACACTTTGCAACTCCCTTGGGCCTCACGACCCCCAGATTGGGCAACACTGCATTACAGTAAAGCTGAAGAATCCTAGTGGCAAAATATAATTTAAACAACATTCCTGATGAATTTAAAGTTCACATACATTTGCATTACTAAACTCAACTGACTGTGAACCAGATGACTTGTAGATTGAAACTAGATATATTATTAGGGAAGAATGCAAAAAGATAATTCCTGTAGTAAAAAAGGAAAGAAAAAACCTTGACAGGTAATGGAAGAAACAAAATAAGGTCAGGATCCTGAATGCAGCTTTTCAGAAGCAATCACACAGAGAGAAAGAGACCTATTATAATAGCCAGTGCAAAGAAATAGAAGGCAACAAAAGAGGAAAAACAAGAGATCTCTTCCAGAAGATCCAAGAAATAGAAAGGAAATTTAAAGTTAGATTAGGAATGCTGAACGACCAACAGGAAAGTACACTATCTGACTAGGATGAAATAAATGGAAGGTGGAAACATATACTGAAGACCTCTGGAGAAGAGATAAAAGGATGGCAATTTGCTTTGAAGAGGAATCCTGTGATGAAGAACCTGCAATTCTAGAAAAAGAAGTGAATGCTATTCTTGAAACACTAGAAAGAAAGAAATCACCAAGAGTAGATGGGATACCAATAGAACTATTTCAAGCAACAGACACTGAATTTGTCAAAATCCTAACAAGAATATGCAAACAAATATGAAAATATTATATAACAAAGACTTTTCCTGTATATGAAGCAAGCAATACCCAATATTCAGCTGGACTCAAGAGAATGAACAGATACTAGATATCTTATGGCAAATATGCTTTGTCTTATGGAAAGTGCCAAAGAATTTCAGAAGAAAATATGTTTTTACTTCATAGATTGCAGAAAAGACTTTAACTGAAAAGCTGAAACTTGAACAGCTAAAGTAAATCTATAGACCATTCTAAAAGAAACTGCTATTCTGTGACAATTGATTGTTCTGATGCATGAATTACATTCTGAATAAGAGGCTACTGTTAGAACAGAAAATGGCAAACAATCAGGCAAGCATGCATTTTATCTTCTTTGTTTGCTTTGCATGTGGAATGTATCACACAAAAAACTGAATTAGAAAGAGAGAAATTGTTGGAAGGAGCATTAACTGATAGAATAAAGAATGAAGAAATAATAATGTACCTGTGAGGGTGGTGGGACCAAGGTGGTGGACCCTTCTGATGATCTTAACACCTGGGCAGCATCATAAAGGGAGATGCAATCTTTGAGACAGCTTGGACCCAAGTCATTTAGGGCTTTACAGGTTAAAACCAGCACTTTGAATTGTGTCCAGAAATGGATCAGCAGCCAGTGGAACTGCTATAACAGGGAGGTTAGGTGATCCCTGTAATGAGCCCCAGTTAACAATCTGGCTGCAGCATTTTTAACCTGCTGAAGTTTTTGAAAACTTTCCAAAGGCAGCCTCACATAGAGTGCATAATAGTAATCCAGACAGGATGTAATTAAGATATATGTCACAATGGCAGGATTATACATCTCTAGGAATGGGTGCAGCTGACACACTAGTTTTTACTATGCAAAGGTATTCCTGGCCAAAACCTGGACACCCAGTCTGAGATACAAATTGAGCAGCATACCCAAGTTGTACACCTGTGTTTTCAGTGGAATTTCAGGGGATTGTTAGGATTTTGATACAATCATTTGCTGTATCCTGTCTACTTCTGCTGATTTATTTCTTCCATGTGCTTTAAGAGCAGCTTTCATTTTATTTTCTAAAACTGCATCAATATGCATTGTTCTAATATAGTCAAAGTGGATCATCATTAATTTGTTTTAACAGTTTGTACATTCTAATCTGTTAAGAATTATATTTGCAGACTTATATTTGCAGCACATAAATTGCTTAATTTGGCTTTTATTATTTTACCTTCTCTGCACATTGTGAATCACATCAAGCAGGCAAAATAAAACACAGTGATAATAGATACAGGGGTAAATTTGCCTTCAAAATACTTGCTTAGACGGGTATATGACTACTGACACAAATGCAAGGTCAGCGAAGTGATATCATGATTTATTCATTTCCCTTTGTACTTGAGGTTATGAATGCATGCAAAGCCAGTGGACCTTGCGAACTGAATTTTCAGATTTATGGACTGGTACAATGTCCTACATGTGTCATTTTTTTCTATTAAAACTAAAGTTCTTTTAATCCTTTGCATGACATATTTCGCTGTAGAAGATGTTGATGTGTAAGATACTGAAATCTGTTCAATATAGCTCCTTTCATACTCTAATAATCATTTTTCCCTATTTATTCAAATGAGACCCCAAAGTGAAAGTCCATTCGATGTATTTTAATATTCCTTTTCCTACTCTTATTTAAGTGAAAGAACTTTTGGTGGAACCAGTGTAAATCTGTATTAATTTTTTTCCAAGTATTTAAATTCTGCCCTTTCAACCACAAAGAAACATAAAAAAGGATAACAAAGTTTGAAATCAAACTTTTTAAAAAAATTAACAAAGGATAATAATAAAGATCCAAGAAACCTGAGTGTTTCAAAGTCAAGGCAGCATATGGAACATTGAGACCAGAATTAAGAAAACTGAATAATCATTGGTAATATCTGTTACGGTCCAAGTCGGCCCCTTTGGAAAATCTGCAGATCCTGCAAAGTTTAAAAGAAAGAGGGGTGGGAGGCAAGGTTACAAAAAATAAATCCACAGCCCCAAGCTTTTCAATCTATACACGAATGATGTGGCAAAACTTATCATGATGTCTTTTTCAAAGACAGAAATCCTTGGGAGAATACCTCATAGTCCTGGGGCAGCATCAGGCAAATGAAGAATTTAAAAGCCCCTTGTCTTCTCATCTTACTGCTTGTGTTGTGGTACCACTGAATGAATGGAAGTAGGAGAGATTAACTGGGGACTGGAGTGATTGGAATACACCATTTCTCTGATCCATCAGATTGGTTTTAGAAATTATTCAAGTGTTCCTGATGTTTTTCCAAGAAAATTGGAAAATCTATGTGCCAGTAGAAAAGCAGAGAGCTGACCCATTTCTGCATTTGAACATTTCGAGTTTAAGGAAGCTGAGGGTTTTTTAAAAATATTTCAGCCCAAAACATACCAATTGTTTAACTAACTTGCATTAATAAAAACTTTGGCCTGTTGAAGTCTACTGCAAGCAAAACTAGCAATGTGTCAGTGACAAAGGAATTTGATGGTAGGTTTCCAATATTCAAGACAGCTCACCTTCTCTGTATCAATGCCCCTGGACATTGACCAGGTAGAAACAATATAGTCCATTACACGTTCACTTAAGCCTTTGGGCACTTGGTAGAGCTTCAGGAAGTCGCGGACACTGTTCAGCATCTCATGGTATCTATTTGTGTTAGCGTACATTTGCTGGAAGATCGTTGTCACATTACCAAAAATTGTTGCATATAACAAAGCTGGAAGCCAAAGGAGAGGATAAAAGCAGAGAACAAAGATGAGTATTTTCTAAAATCTTAAGAAACAAGAAGCCTAAGAACCATGTCGATATGGTGCAGCGTCTGTAAGAGAACTTAGCACTAGTTCCATTAAATAGGCCACTAATCATATTAATTGTTACAAAATGATGTAATAATGACACTTATCGTTGCTATAAACCTTCGTGTTCTTCTCAAATAATTCTCAGTATTATAAGGGACACATCTTGTTTGCATAAATTATCTTGTTCTAGTTGCAAAATGCCAATTTTAATTTAGCTAGTGCTAAGTGACCAAATGGCTGAAATCCTATTGCTTAGAGTAGGACAATTGAATCAATGGAATTTACAGAAGAATTGACTTACCAAATCCTCATGGATTAAATGGGACTACTCTAGCTGTACGCTAAGCAAAAGGATTTCAGCCAATGTGTAGCTTTAAGGCGAAGTAATTAGGAAGCCCAGTTTCTATCTCTGGAGGCTGCATATTCAAGTCTTGCTTGATCTCACACTAAATAACTTGTAAATTGGCACATAATTTCTTTAACTGCAATTCCTTTGACACATAATTCATCTAGCTGCAGGATCAAATGTGCTTGTTCTTTTTAACCCTGCTGCTGATTTCAACACTGCTGCTACCTACCACCTTAACATCAGTAGGTAAATATATTGATGAATTGATTTGGATTTATTCTTTGTACCCTTGCCTTGCTATCAAATTTAAGCTCAGGATAGCACTCCAAAATTAAATGAAACTCAAAGGTAAGGACAGGTTGCTTACCTGTAACTGTAGTTCTTTCTGCATCTACAGTATGTATGCACACATATTGGGATTTCTTTCACATCTGTGTGAATCTTCTCAGAAACTTCGAGAGCCTAAGAAAAGAGTGAAGACATACCCTCTCCACCACGCATCCTCCTCACCCTGTATTGAGCCTTCAGTTCCCCAAATCTGCTACTGGTTAAAAAAAATGGAGCTGTTTGGCAGCCTGAGGGGAGGCTCGGTAATTTGTGTGAATTCACAGATGACCATTTGAGGAATTACAGTTACAGGTAAGCAACCTGTCTTTCTTCACTGTGATCTCTGTAAAATCACACATATGGGTGACTTGCAAGCTCACTTACCAGCTGGTGGGATGTCACACTGGAACTGAGGAGATCACCACTCTACCAAATGAAGCATCAAGACTGGCTGTGACGTTCAGTTTGTAATGGCTGATGAATACTGAGGGCTGAGGTCAGGTTGCTGCTTTACAGGTGCCTCTCACATGAATTCTTTCCCCTTTTTTGAGTACAGGGTGGAGGCTGTGAAGTGGACTTAAGATGCCAACAGCCTATCCTGGGTATCAATGGGTAGTGTTAATTGACCCGACTATCCTGGGTATCAATGGGTAGTGTTAATTGATCCAATTATCCTGAGTATCAATGGGTAGTGTTAATTGACCTGACTACAGTATAAGAGTAAGGATCTTCGATAGTAATAATTTAGAATAGTATCTGCCTCCATACAGAGTTGTTTTGAGGGAGTTTTACAAATGGAGACATCCAGAACCAAAGATGTATCTCTGGTGATTGTATCAACTGCCCATAACAATTTCTCCCACAAGGATGATTTCAAGAAGGACTTGTTGGCAACATTCATAAATTTGTGGCAGATGGATCAACTGTGCATTTGATGCCCCTCACTGAGGCTGTACAGACACTAAGAGAGGCCATTGGTGAGGGAGATATTGTTTCACAGCTAACGCCCTTCTTCAACCAACCTAATAAGGAGGGAAAAGTCATTAATGGATAATAATAATTAAACAAATGGAAAAAAAATAATCTCAAAACCATTTTTAAAGAACAAAGGAGCGGAACTGAGGAGAAGGTGAAGGATTAAATGGTAAGAACTATACATAAACTGATAATAATAATTAAACAAATGGAAAAAAATCATCTCTAAACCATTTTTAAAGAAGGAGGGGAACTGAGGAGAAAGTGAAGGATTAAATGCTAAGAACTATATATAAACTTATAGCAAGCTGAGGAAAACATTGAAGGCTCAGAGAAAGCCGCTAGAGGTTTGCTGGGGTGGCAGAAAGGGAACTGAGGGATTCATAGAGGGTGGGGATCGTGTGTGGTGGAGAGTGTCTTAACTTTTTCTGTAAGACTCTAGAGAGTTCTGAGGATTTTCGTACAGGTGCAAAAGGAACCTCCATATGTGTGATTTCACAGAGACCATGAAGAACATAATTTAACTAAAGTACAGATAAAAATGCAATAAATCAGAATGATTTATTGAGTGTGAGATCAAACAACTAAATAAACAAGTCATCATGTTTTAGTAAACAATATGTTTTTTTTTTTGGCATACAATTCAAAGTAGATGTCAGGAAGAAAATGTTTGGAGTGGGCATTCCACAGCTGGGAAGCCACAATAAAACAGCCTTTTTCCTAGTAAATGTAAAAAAAACTGCCACAATCAGAAAAAAAGAGTTAATTACAGTGCATTGCTTTTCTACTAACATTCAATCCTATTTAAATGGAATCTTGGAAAGATCGTAGAAAGATCTCTTCATGAAACTTCAGAAAACTTCTTCTTCTTTGTATTTTGTGTATAGGTAAAAAAAGAGAAGACTACGTGGCTATTTGGCTTCAGTACAGCAGAACAAAACCAATTTTCTTGAAAATAGAAACACATCAGAGGCAACTGAGCAGACTTGTACATTAGTCCACAGGCACTGATTGTATTAGTTCACAGGTGCATATAAATAACTACTTTACTTACAGTATTGCAGAAGATTTATGCCAACCAGTACCCTGTAAATGTATGGCTGGTTTTAATAATACACTTGTCATTTTCTAACCTCCACAGTGAAGCTCCGGGTACAGCAGCGTCTTGAACACAGGCCAAACGCTGGCTCTATGGCTTGGAAACAGGGATGAGCACTGCCCCCTAGAGTTGGACATGACTGGACAATTGCCAAGGGGAACCTTTACCTTTACTTTTTATCTTCATAATGGAATGGTGCTGTCTGGATAACTCAGTGGTTTAGGGGTCTGGTTGGGAGTTCATTTCCCCACTATGCCTGCTTGATAGCGGCTCAACGTGATGATCCATAGGGTCACTTCTAGCTCTGCAGTTCTAAGATTAAGGAGTGGTTTTGCCAATTCCACCCCCAGTGAGCTTCACTGGCAGAGCTGGAGAATGGAACCTGGGTCTCCTGAGTCCTTTTCCATTACTGTATCCATCACACCGATCACCCCTTCCCCACATACTCCCCAACACTTCACAGATTAAAATAGAGAGGGACATGCTGAGTTATAAGGATTACTGCCAAGCAACTTGCCCATATGGTTAAGAGGATGTGGTCAAAGGCATGGTAAAGTATAAAAATTATGCAAGAGGAGGAGCACACAAAACTGCAAAATCTATAGCACAGAAGTCTTTGAATCTGAGTGTTGCCTATGAGGAAATGTAAAAACAGAAGATTAAGAAGGATAAAAATAAGGAAAGCAAATATTTTATATTTGTTGAATATGTTGCACTTTCTGAGTGTAAAAAGCACTTTGCCCCCACTGCTGTTTGGGGCATAACTAGGGAGAAAGGATTGCGTACATTGATGGTACATGAAATGACCCCTCCACACTCTTGACGGCCTCAGAGGTGGGAGGGAAAGGGAGCATTACCTCACTTTGGCAAGGAGGAGGTGAGTTTGCATGGGTGATACAAGTGCTTCACTGTGAAGCCAGTGTCAGGGGTGGTGAAGGAAGCATTTTTAAGGCTGGTCCACCCTGAAGTCCGCCTCTTTTGGATTATTGTCAGCAGCCCATCCATCCCCAATGTAACTGAGAATGACGTTTCTGGTCACCAACAGAGGCCCAATAGGAATTTTCAACCTGGGTCCCCTGACTGGTATATTAAGAGGGAAACCTGGGTGGATTTTCATCTATCCTGATTCTTACAGGGCACAATGGGCAGATCTGGGCGTGGTGTCATTTCTTAAATAGATCACAAACTGGCAGGTAGTGCTGAGAAAGAGGTCGTGGTGGGCCCTCACAGGGTACCCTCAGGGTAACTTGGTCACCTCTGTGAGTAAGGTGGAGCACAGGATTCTGGGGTACAGGTGAGATTGGCCCTTTGAGGCAACCTCACACAATAACCAGCCTCAAGTCATGGGACTTAGATAGGTAATGGAGACAAGGATTATCTCCCCAGAGTAGCCAGACTGGGCAGTGCTGGTGAGGTGTAACAGCACCTCGGGGCTAGGGGCTTGCCTGTCTCAGTCCAGAGAGGGTCTTGGATGACCCATTAGTTCTGACTCAAGGTTCACACACTACTTACACCTCACTGAAAGTCAGGGGATTTAAACAATAAAGTTGTGGCCCAATTTGAAACCTATTACTTGTTTCTTGTCCCTTTATTTTCTGGGTGGGGGCAACTACTGTTTGCTAATGAGCGTAAAACTGGTTAATGGGATTTGGAATCTGATTATTCTCTTTTAGCAAAGAAAAAAAAATTGAAGAGATCCACCAAGTCTCATGTCCTCTCTTGGAAAGGAAAAATGAGTAATTGTTAAAGGAAACGAACAACTTTTGCTTACAGTACATGCTTGTATGCTTTCTTTTTATATACTGTGGAGTTACATCTCCACAAGACTATTTTCAGAGAGTAGAAAATAGAGGAGAGAGGAAAGGAACAACAGGAAGGAAAGGGCAAGTTCAAGGGTTCTGAGGTGTGGCAAAAGAAAACTATATTTAAGTTAGCAGGAGGTACAGGACATGCTCCCCACTAACACCTAGGGTTAAAAGAGAAACATGCAACATTGTAGGTTTACCAAAAAAAAAAAAAAGTAATCACAAAATTTGTATCTTCTGTATTTCAGATACTTCTCATTCTACTGATTGGACTCTCCCATCCCAGCATGTCCGTAATAACATAGGCAAGACCTACGAAATGGACTATGAAGGTATATGTCAGACAAAATTTACAGTATTTGT